ATTGCTCAAGGCGTTCCAGAGTTAGTGTGGAACACACACACACACACACACACACACAGTGAAGCATTATCAAATTCATTTAAATAGGTAGTTCTCTGCTTCATAATTATTCATTTAGCACTAAAAAAATGACTTACAACCAGTCCTTGCACTTACGACCACTGCAGCATTCTCCCATGGTGACGTGCTGAAAATTTGGGCCCTTGGCAACTGGCACATATTTATGACCCCTGCAGTGTCTTGGGGGGAGGGTTATGTGACTGAGTTTATGGTAAGCCATAACTTAACTTTCTTTTGGCTTAGAATGTGGTACAAATGCAGCTATGGTTTGTTACCCGTGCCTGAGGCTTACATTATTGTGTGGACATTACCCCGAGGCTTGTCCTAAAGCAGTGTTTCTCAACCTTGGCGACTTTAAGTCCTGTGGACTTCAACTCCCAGAATCCCCCAGCCAGCTGTGCTGTGCTGTGCTGTGGGATTCTGGGAGTTGAAGTCCACAGGACTTAAAGTCGCCAAGGTTTAGAAACACTGTCCTAAAGCTTTGATGTCAGAGACGCTTTGCGCTTATTAAAAACCCAACATTTAATCATTTTTTTCTCTTTTCCTTTTTTCCCCAGGTTTCTCATGAATTTGCCATTAATTTTAATCCCACCAACCCTTTTTGCCTTGGTAAGTGCATCTACCAGCAGCTTGAAAGCAAGCCCTTGAAATCTCTGTTTTCCCCATAACAACCTTGCGAGGTGGGTTAAGATGAGTGACGGTGGCTGGTCCAAAGTCATCCGTCTGCTTTTGTGCCTAAAGCAGGACTAGAACTCAAGGCCTCCTGGTGAGTGGCCAAAGTCACCAAGCCCGCTTTCATGGCTAAGGTGGCACTAGAATTCACTGCCTCCTGGTGACTGGCCAAAGACACCTAGCTGGTTTTCACGACTAAGACGGGACTAGAACTCACTGTCTCCTGGTGATTGGCCAAAGTCACCTAGACAGCTTTCATGGCTACGGTGGGACTAGAACTCACCACCTCCTGGTGCCCGGCCCAAAATCAACCAGCTGGTTTTCATGGCTAAGGTGGCACTAGAACTCACTGTCTCCTGGTGCCTGGCCCAAAATTAACCAGCTGGCTTTCATGGCTAAGGCGGGACTAGAACTCACTGTCTCCTAGTGATTGGCCAAAGTCACCTAGGCAGCTTTCATGGCTATGGTGGGACTAGAACTCACTGTCTCCTGGTGATTGACCAAAGTCACCTAGGCAGCTCTCATGGCTATGGTGGGACTAGAACTCACTGACTCCTAGTTTTTAGGTCAACATCTTAAACAACATGAATAAATGACATGAATAAATAAACCAAAGAGAGAAATGTATTTTATATATTATGTTAAGGAACAGGGCTGAACGTATAACTTATAGATTTTCTGAGTATCTTCCAGGGCAACTGCCAACACAAGAATGCCCTTTTTAGACCATTAAATGAAGTTTCCTTCATAAATCAAACTAAATCACCATCAAAAGGCAGGATCATCCCTCATCTTTTCCTGACCCCAGGCAAGCTTTGACATATATGTCACAGAACAGGGGTAAACATCAAATGGAGGAGGGGTGGAATAACCACGTATTGTAGCCTGTACGACAAAAATGAAAAGGGAAAAAAACAAGAGGCCACCAGATGCTTCAAAGGGGAGAAATGCAAATTAACTGGGGGAAAAAGAGGTGTTTTTTTAAAAAAGATCTATAAGCTTTTTTCATCTAAGCTCCAACTATATCAGGGATAAGAATTGGGGTGAACTAGAGCCCATTAAATGCATCCAGGCTGGCGGAGTTCAGCAACCGAGGACTTTGGACCCTAATATCTGGGTTGATGCCTGTCAATCAAATGAAATTATTATATGAATTGATGTATAAATCCTGTCAGCGTTTGGCGGAATAAAAGAGGAAGAGAGAAAGGCAAGGAAACAAGATATTTTAGACAAAATAAGTGAGAGGGAGCGAAGAAGGGTGGCACGATGGCTCAGCGGTTAAAGATGCTGCGTTTGTCAGGCCAGGTTCAAGACCCAAGCGCTGTGTGATGGATTGAGCTCCCGTTACTTGCCTCAGCTCTTTCCACTTTAACCATTTGAAAGCATGCAAATGTGAGTAGATAAATAGGTACGACTTCAGTGGTAACATAAAGAATTGTAATGGCCCAGTGGTTAGAATGCAGAAATGCAGGCTACTTCTGCTGCCTGCCATCTGCATGAAATTTGGCAGTTTGATTCTGACTGGTTCAAGGTTGACTCAGCTTTCCACTTTTCCAAGGTCGGTAAAATGAGGACTCAAATTGTTGGGGGGGGGGGCGGCAATGTGCTGACTCTGTCAGTGGCTTAGAGAGAGTTGTACAGCACTGCAAAGCGGTATATAAGTCTAAATCCCAGTGCTAGTGCTAACAGCATTCCATGTGCCTTGGTGCATAGCCGTGTTAGTTAGATGACCATGGAAAGGTGTTTGGACAATGTTGGCTCCCTTGGCTAGGAAGCGGAGATGAGCACCACCAGGTGATATTCAGCCAGTTCTGACAGATTCTGGAGAACCGATAGCGGCAATTTTGAGAGTGGGGAGGGAGTGGGGATTTTGCAGTATCCTTCCCCTGCCATGCCCACCAAGCCACGCCACACCCATAGAACCGGTAGTAAAAGATTTTGAATCCCACCACTGAGCACCACCACTTACAGTATGTTGGACACAACTGGACAGGGGAAACTTTACCTTTACTTGAGAAAGACAGGATTACAGGGTTGACTTACAACTGCAATGGAGCCTGCCCATTATGGACGTAAGTTGCAATGGTCAGAAAATGGGCCACCCCTATGATCAACCTGAGTTTGCAACCTTTTATCTTGTGGCCGTTATTAAGTGAACACTGCAGCCGTAAATCGACTGCCACGGTCCATAAGCCAATGCCATGAAGGGAACCTCTTGTTTGCGATGTGCCCGATTTGCCAAAATCCGGAAGTAAAGGCCAGTTTCGAACAAAGACATTGTAAAACGTAATCCATCCTGGGACATCAGAACTTCAGTACTGGGTAAGAGCCCCTGGAAGGGTTTGTTAGAACTTCTAACAGTGGCTTAGTCGTAAGTCGAGGACTACCTGTATCACACTGGGTATGGAGTTTGCCTCGTACGAGCGGCCTCCTTCACGCTGCCTTTCTCTCCTCCGTCTTCTCAAGGTGTGGAAGGCATCGTCCAGGCCTACTCCAGTTGCCTGCCTCACATTCGCTTCTACGGACCCACCAACTTCTCCCCCATCATTAACCACGTGGCTCGGTTCGCGGCCCAAGCGACCCAGCAGGAATCTGCCAGCGTAAGTTCCCTTACCGGGTGTGGCAGGGCCAGATGGGTCTTTTGTGCTCTCTCACCTTCCTGACTTCCTGATTCTAATCACAGAGAATAGTTGTAGCTCAGGGTTGAATTGAGGGCTCCTTGGTGCTCTCTGAGCTTGGTCATTTTCTTGCAGACGTTTCGTCACCCAAAGGAGGTATAACATCATCGGTGCTAGAAGGGTGTGAAGTTCTAGAACTGATGATGTTATCTAGTTTGGGTAATGAAATGTCTGCAAGAAAAAAAGCAAGCTCAGAGAGCACCAAGGACCCCACAGTCGTCATCCTCCTCCTCCTCCTCCTCTTCCTCCTCTCCTCCTCCAATCTCACTCCCTTTTAGCACTGATGATGTTATCTAGCTGGGTAATGAAACGTTTGCAAGGAAACAAGCAAGCTCAGAGAGCACCATGGACCCCACAGTCATCGTCCTCCTCCTCCTCCTCCTCCTCCTCCAATCTCACTCCCTTCTAGCACTGATGATGTTACCTAGTTTGGGTAATGAAATGTCTGCAAGAAAACAAGCAAGCTCAGAGAGCACCATGGACCCCACAGTCATCGTCCTCCTCCTCCTCCTCCTCCTCCAATCTCACTCCCTTCTAGCACTGATGATGTTACCTAGTTTGGGTAATGAAATGTCTGCAAGAAAACAAGCAAGCTCAGCGAGTACCAAGGACCCCACAGCCCTCCTCCTCCTCCTCCTCCCCCTAGTGATGATGATGCCTAGTTTGGGCAATGAAACGTCTGCAACAGAACAACCCAGCTCACAGAGCACCTTGACTTGGATAGTGCTTTGAATGCTTGGAAACCCCCTCACCTCCACTGCCTCTTTTTAGCTAGCCAGAGTTTCAAACAACTGACTGGGACAGGGATCGGCAACCTTCAACAGTCAAAGAGCCCTTTGGACCCGTTTCCCACAGAAAAGAAAACATCGGGAGCCACAAAACTTGGGTGGGTGTGGCCAACTGAACATCACTCCCACCCAGTTACATGACCCCCCCCACCGCCATCGCTGATAGGCAAGCATCTTTGGTGAGGGCGCTACGCCTTTTTCCAAGCAGGGCAGCAAGAAAAGGGGGCTGGCCCCCGCCAAACCTCACATGCCCATCCAAGGAATCAGACTTGGGGAAAGCCGAAGCACCCTCGCCAAAGATGCTCACCCGTCACTTGGTCAACCTCCCCGCTCTGCGCGCCTTTGCTGCACTTTGGCCAAGCCCGACCATTCGCTTGAGGATGGTATCCCCGCTTGTGTGCGCCTTCCCGGCTACCCAACAGCCGGCCATGGGGTCACATGAGGAGGAGGAAGCTGCCGCCGTGGCTCATGCTCAGTCCTCAGCTGCAGGCCTGTCCCCCTTTCTGGCGTACCCTCCTCCTGGATCCCATTCCCACCCCGCCAGCCGTTGAGTTAGCGAGGTTAACATCAGCCACAGGTGGGTTGGGCCAGTGCCTCCGGGCGGAGAGCAGGTTGTGAGACCAGATCGGAAGGGAGCCGCAGGAGAGGGGTCAAAGAGCCGCATGCGGCTTGGAGCCATGGGTTGCCGACACCTGGATTAGGAGGAGCTGTTGAAGCAAGTCACAAGCCTCCCTTCTCAAGCTTAAACGTTTGCACGTCTGCCCTCCAGCTTAATACATCCAGCCCAAAGCATGCTTTGCCTTTTGTGTGTTGCCACTCTGAAGTTGTGTGTGTGTGTGTGTGTGTGTGTGATATTAGTTGTTGTTAACAAAGACCTTCCTGATGTTGTAAACGGTATAATGCAAATCGACCATTTTCTCCTACATGCAACCCATTTGCCTTCATGAAAGAAGGTAAGAAAGCCAGAAATTGGCCGTCCAAACGTGAGTGAATGCTGCCCTTGCATTGAACGAGTCTAAATTTCCAAAACCACAAACAGCAAACTCTGGTTTAAAGATGGCTTAGAGCTCCGGTTTGCCTGTGCGCCTGCTCGTAAGCTTGAACGCCAGTGTCCTGGGAAGCCAACTTCATTTAGTCTTGAGCAAAAAGAGTACAGAACAAAATTGCAGCCCTGTAATTACCTGTCCTGTGGGGAGAGATGTTCTCATCTTTTTAATGGGTCTAATCAGGACCCAATTCCCATTTCATTTGGGCTCCTGCCCTTGTGCAATCCCCCCTCTCCTTCTGCTCCCCGTGAGATCCTTTGAAGGGAGGAGCGGAGCATTCTGCAGGCCTCGTGAAGAACAGAAGGATGCTTAAATCAGATTAAGACGGCAGGGTGTATCAATCGGATGATGAGGATAATTAAGGGTCTAAAAAGCTGTGTATGGGAACAGACGTCCCCCTCACCAATCCCATGCCAGGTACTGCCTCTTGAGAAAGGAGTTTGGATCATGCTTGGTGATCTTTCATCTCCTGGTGACTTCTGATATCACGAATCCTTCCCTTCTCCACCATCCAGTCGGAGCTGAAGAAGCATGGTCTGGAGGACTGAGATACATGGTTTTCTTAAGTTCACAGGTCTTAAAAGTTGCCAAGTTTGGTCTCATTCAGATGAACTGGTCACCTCCTCCTGGGTGTGTGTGTGTCTGATTTTCTTCTCTGCTTTCCCTCCCCAGCAATATTTCATCCTGCTGATCATCACCGATGGTGTCATCAGCGACATGGATGAGACACGGCACGCTGTCGTACAGGCCTCCAGGCTGCCCATGTCCATCATCATCATTGGGGTTGGGAACGCAGACTTTGCTGCCATGGAGTTTCTGGATGCAGACAATCGCATGCTCCGGTCGTACACAGGCGAGGAGGCTGTGCGGGATATTGTCCAGTTTGTGCCATTCCGTGAATTCCGCAATGTAAGTGCAGGAGAATTTTATGTTTGCATTAGAGGGAGGGGGAGGGAGGAAGAAGGGGGGGGAGGGAGGAAGGAAGGAAAAGGAAGAAAAAGAAGGAAGAAGGGAGGGAAGTAAGTAAAAGAAAGGGAGGGAAGTAAGGTGGGAAGGAGGAAGGATGGAAAAGAAAGGGAGCAAAAGAAAGGGAGGAAAGAAAAAGAAGAAGGGGTGGGAGGAAAGGAAGGAAGGTGAGAGGGAGGAAGAAAGGAAAAGGAAGAAAGGAAGGAAAAGGGAGGGAAGGAAGAGAGGGAAGGAAGGAAAAGAAGGAGGGAGGGAAGGTGGGAGGGAGGAAAAGGAAGAAAGGAAAGAAAAAAGGAAGGGATGAAAAAAAGGAAGAAGGGAGGGAAGGAAGGAAAAGAAAGGGAGGGAAGGAAGGAAGGTGGGAGGGAGGGAGGGAGGAAAAGAAGGGAGGGGGAAGGGAAGGGAAGGATGGAGGGAAGGTGGGAGGGAGGGAGGAAAAGAAGGGAGGGGGAAGGGGAGGGAAGGAAGGAAATCATGATTATCAGCAAAGGAGTTG